TTGGGGACATGAGGGGCCATGGGGGACACGGGGACACGGGGACACAGGGACACGGGGGGACATGAGGGGACACGGGGACATGAGGGGACATGAGGGGACACGGGGGGACACGGGGACACGGGGACACGGGGACATGGGGGACATGAGGGACACGGGGACACGGGGACATGAGGGGACATGAGGGACATGAGGGGGCACGGGGACACGGGGGACATTTGGGGACACGGGGACACGGGGGGACAGAGATGGGACACGCGTGTCCCTGCGTCCCCCCAGGTGTCCCCCCGGTGTCCCCGTGTCCCCACCTGAGGCGCGTGTCCCCCCGATGTCCCCACCCGTGCCAGGTGTCCCCCAGGTGTCCCCACGTCCCCCCAGGTGTCCCCCCGATGTCCCCACCCTTTCCAGGTGTCCCCATGGCCCCCCGGTGTGTCCCCGTGTCCCCCAGGTGTCCCCGTGTCCCCCAGGTGTCCCCCAGGTGTCCCCCAGGTGTCCCCGTGTCCCCACCTGAGGCGCGTGTCCCCGCGGGTCACCTGCTGCGCGCGCACCTTGGCCACCAGGATGCGCACGATGCGCACGAACACCACGAAGTTCACCTGGCGGGGGACACAGGTGACACCCGGGTGACACTCAGGTGACACCCAGGTGACACCCGGGTGGCACCGCCCCCCCGCGATGTCACCCACCGCCACAGCCGCCAGGATGGGACAGCGGATCAGCCACCACACCGCCACCTTCTCGTTGCGCTCCCAGCACCTGCGGGGGGGCGTGGCCTGGCTCAGCCCCGCCCCCCGGGTCTCCTGGGGGGGGAGGGGACAGGTGGGGGAGGGGACAGGTGGGGCCTCACCCCTCGTTCTCGTACAGGTACCTCAGGATGACCCAGGGGACCACGAAGAGCACGGGGACACCTGGGGGGACACACCTGGTCAGGGGGGACACACCTGGGGACACCTGGGGACACCTGGGGACACACCTGGGGACACCGGGGGGGGACACAGCTGGTCAGGGGACACCTGGGGACACCTGGGGACACACCTGGGGACACCGGGAGACACCTGGGGGGAGACACCTGGGGACACACCTGGGGAGGGGGGCATGGAGTGGACACAAAGGTGCAGGCGCGGTGTCCCCGTGTTGTCCCCCTGTCCCCCCGGCTGTCCCCTGTCCATCCCCGCGGTGTCCCCGTGTTGTCCCCCTGTCCCCCGGCTGTCCCCTGTCCGTCCCCGCGGTGTCCCCGCCGTGTCCCACCTGCGTGCCCAGCAGCGTCAGGGGGTGGCCCGGCTGGTGGCCCGGCTGGTGGCCCTGGTGGCCCGGGTGTGGCAGCAGCGCGTCCCGCGTCAGGATGGCGGCGGCGCGCAGCGCGAAGGACACGAAGAGGTTGGCGTGGATCAGGTTCCGCGTGCAGCGCAGGCGCCTGGGGACACGGGGACACCCGTGGGGACACGGGGACACGGGGACATCCCCTGGGGACACGGGGACACGGGGCCATCCCCTGGGTGACACCGCCATGGGGACACAGCGTGGATCAGGTTCCGCGTGCAGAGCAGGCGCCTGGGGACACGGGGACACCCGTGGGGACACCCGTGGGGACATGGGGACACGGGGACACGGGGACACGGGGACATGGGGACACGGGGACACCCGTGGGGACACGGGGACATCCCCTGGGTGGCACCTCCGCGGGAGGCAGCAGGACACAGGTGTGACACTCCCCCAGGCGTCACAGCCCCAGGTGTCACATCCCCAGGGTCACAGCCCCAGGTGTGACATCCCCAGGTGTGACATCCCCAGGTGACACTCCCCCAGGTGTGACATCCCCAGGGTCACAGCCCCAGGTGTGACATCCCCAGGTGTGACATCCCCAGGTGACACTCCCCCAGGTGTGACATCCCCAGGTGTGACATCCCCAGGTGACACTCCCCCAGGTGTGACATCCCCAGGGTCACAGCCCCAGGTGTGACATGCCCAGGGGTGACATCCAAGGTGTCACAGCCCCAGGTGTCACAGCCACAGGTGTGACATCCCCAGGTGTGAAAGCCCCAGGTGACACTCTCCCAGGTGTCACAGCCCCAGGGTCACATCCCCAGGTGACACTCCCCCAGGTGT